TTTGTGTCCTTGCCCACACGTGTAACGTGACAGGCATTTCCTTGTAAAGCCTCGTCTACAATAGACGCATAGGCTATGTCGTATGTCGCATAAGAATGTCGCAAGAGTACTGTTTCCGGACGCAAGGCTGTCGCAGTCGCAAGAGCCCTTGTCGCACGGAGTTGAGCCAACTTCAACTTTCTGCGACTGCGACAAGCGTGTCGCATGAGATCGGCCAATCACAGCACAGTACGTTGACGCTAAAAGTGTTTTGACGATTTTATTAATTGCTAGCTAATCTTGCTGTATTTTTTTATTTTTGTTGGTTTTAATCACCATTAAAAATGAATAAAATAGAATTTGAGGAGCATCTCATTAATAGAGAGATAATAGCCTTTGTCCGGTCAAACCCCCTATTGTGGCAGAAGCGTGTGAAAATTGACAAGAAGAACAAGGACACAATCAGTCAAGCATTTTCGCAGATTGGCTCCCTATTATCAGAGCCACTGACAGGTGAGGAAATATTTGTTAAGAATCATATATTGCTAGGCCCTACTCTTCTATCCTAGTGTGATTGACTATTGTCTATTGACTATCGACTATTGGTGAGGTTATGTATGTGCTAGTAGTGCTCGACCATCCCATGATTAATATGCACGTTACATAGGTGATGCGGTTTCAACTCGGTGGAAGAGTCTCCGAGACCAGTATTCAAGAGAAATGCGCAAGGTGACTGCCAGTCAACCCCGTTCTGGTGCTGGAAATGATGAACCGTCCTACAAGCCAACGTGGCCCCTCTTCAGTGATATGTCATTCCTGAAGGATGTCATCAAACCAAGAAAGTAAGTCCACTCACATTATTAACTTGGCTTGGTTTAATTGTATATCCAAGTTTTCTTGACATCAGTGTTTATCTTTGCAGAACGCAGTCAAATGTCAGCAGAAAAAAATTCAAATCATGTGAAGACACAAAAATCGGTGACAATCCTGTTAATATTGTCATTCCGTCATTTATCACGCGCATTCCAAAAAATACTAAAGAGGTCATGTGTGAAAATTCTAGAGATAGCCAAGTAATAGAGATAGAGGAAAGCCAAATAGTAGAAGAAAGCCAAGTAGTAGAAGAAAGCCAAATAGTAGAAGAAAGCCAAGTAGTAGAAGAAAAGCAAGTAGTAGAAGAAAACCAAGAAGAAGAAGAAAGCCAAGTAGCAGAAAAAAGCCAAGAAGCAAAAGAAAATTTCTACTTGTGGAATGCACAGTTTGAAGATATATTCAAAAAAACAAATACAGCAACTGCTAAAGAATTTGACGACGATGTAGCTTCAATAGGTCACTCATCGAGTAGGTCAGCTTCTGGGAGTCAGCCGTCCATTATTCCCCCACCTGATAACTTTTACACTAAAAAGAAGGCTGCAATAGAACAAGTGCACGGCGTAATTAAAAGCACTGCAGCAAAAATAAATTCTGTCTGTGATACCATCAGTGTTAATTTAACACAACCTGAGCATACTCCATCAATTGAAGAGGATTCTGCCTTGGTTTTAATTAAATGCTTTCTTAAGAAAGTTCCTTCAAATATGAAGGTTAAATGTTTGAGCGAAATTATGGCAGTATTAGATAAATACTCTTCAAAAGTTCTTGAATAAACTCTTTTCTTCTCTTTATGCAATGTTCCTCACAAAAGTGTTATGCCAAAAAATATAAAGTAGAATATTTTTGTTTTGTTTGATATAATTTATGCTTACATAAATACTTTTTAAATGTTCCTGAATGTGAACTTTTTTTCTCTTTGTGCAATGTTCTCACAAAATTGTTATGCCAAAGAATATAAAATAGAATATTTTTGTTTTGTTTAATATAATTTTCATTAGAAGAGAGAATTACTTTTTATTTTATTGATATGTGGGCAAGAAACAATTCTATTCTTTTTACAAATACAACTCATTTTTATTTTTACTCAACTATTTATAAAAATGTATAAATAGTATTATTTGCTAGTATTATTTACTATTTGTCAAATAACTTCATAAAAATAAGTAATAAAACTTTATTATTTGCAATTCTTACAAGTGTGTTCTTATTGCGTTGTAAGTTGTACTTTTAGAATTTAAATAAATCTATAAAGATAAAATATAAAATTAAAATTAACACTAACTAAAAATATAATTAACCGTAACTAAAAGATTAATGACAGTCAGGAGGATTAATGTTGTAACTTCCGAATGCTCGCTGGTATTGCCATGGGACTTGAGTCTCCCCTGTCTCGGTTACGAAATAATCCCGTAGCACATTACGTTGGGCGCGTGCAGCAACATTTGAGTTATTACTAGATAACCGACCAATATTTTGCACCAGATCACCCTGTTCTCCGTGTCCTCGCCATGCTCCTCCCATAACCATACCTTCTCCTGTTTCTCTGTCTATCAGATGTGGTGGACAGTATCTCCTGCGAGCTGGAACAATTTCTCTTTCTCCAATTATAACAAAATTGTGGAGACAGATTAAGGCCTTGACTAAGTGCTCAGCATTTTCTGGAGAACAACATAAGGGTCTTGTAAGAATTCGCCACCTTGACACCAAAATGCCGAAAGCATTTTCAATAACCCGCCGTGCTCGTGACAATCGGTAGTTGAACACCCTCTCCTTGTTGGTCAATTGAAGACGGGGATACGGACGTAGCAGGTATTTCTTAAGGGGGAAAGCTTCATCACCTACAAGCGCATATTCCGTTGTTATTAATGTGCTAGGCAATTCTTTTTTTGGGGGCACATCAAGCAAGTTATTATCGAGAAGATGAGACATATCCGAGTGTGCCCAAACTCCACCATCACTGATACTGCCGAATTGTCCTATATCTACCATTGTAAATTTGTAACTTGCGTCACATACAGCCATCAAAACTAATGAAAAATATTTTTTATAATTTGAATATTGACTGCCAGAATTTGGGGGACACTGAATACGGATGTGTTTCCCATCCAACGCTCCAATGCAATTAGGGAATTGCCATTTTTGCATGAACTCATCGGCAATACATCTCCACACTTCTTGCGTTGGTTGTGCCAGGTAACGTGGCTGTAGCACATCCCATATGATGCGGCACACTTCAGGTACAATCTGGTATGCCGTTGATCTTCCAATTCTGAATTCAGCTTTCTTTGAAAACATACTGTCCCCATGAGCTAGGTACCTGATCAAAGTAAAAAAAACATTAAGGATACATATTGAGCCAAAAGTAAGATGTGCATGAATTAAGGGCATGACCTATACTTACGACAGGGTCAAAACCAGCCTCAGCTCTGGATGTAGTGAACGACGACGACTTCCTTTTAACAATCGAGGGCGAACGAGTTCATAAAGATTTCTAAACTGATGTGGCCACATTCTAGTCCAGTTAAAAAATTCTTCATGATCTGTTTCCATCAGCTCACGAAAATAAGTTAAATGAAACCCTTAAATGCCGTCTTTCTTCACTATTTACTGGTCGCACCCACCATCTTCTGTTGTTCGATTCACTGAGCAAACGGCCATATAAAAGTACTAAATTTAAAAATTGGGAGCAAAGTTGCAGAAAGGTTAATAATTGCTGCCGGTCATCCATTGTGGCTGCGGTCGACTTGACAGTTAACGCTATTATCGCGACTATTGTAGACACTCGTCTAGCGACACTCTTACGACATGCGACGAACTTTCCTACGACACTACTACTTACGACATACGACATAGCCTGTGCGTCTATTGTAGACGAGGCTTAATATACCGAGTTTCACTTACGTAAGCACCACGTATCGCAGTCCAC